GACGCGCAGCCCCAGCCGCCTCGAGCGCAGGTGCCGCGACGCGCCGCAGGCCCCGACCCCCTCGAGCCCGCGGCGGCGCCGCCAGTACCCGGCCACCTCAGCCGCTAGCGGCGGTCACTGACGTGGCGGCAGCACGGCGACGAGCAGCAAGAGCAGCGCGGCGCCGCCGAGGCAGCCAGCGCAGCGTAGGCCCGCGCCCGCCGGAGCGCAGCCGGGCGGCGTCAGTCAGCGCCAACCGAACTCCGGGACACCAAGTTCTGGCTGTCCTGCCCAGGAGAAGCCGCGGGCCGAAGATGGAACTCGCAGGGAGGGACAGTAGAGCAGCAACCCGCAGGTCCTGCTACGCCAGCCCCCTCGCCCTCCTCCGGGCGCCGTTGCGCTCAGTGCGCCTGCGCAATGGAGGAGTGAGGCTAGGCAGAGAGCCGCTGAGGCTCAGTGCGCCTGCGCGGGGCGGCGGGCTACGGATGTAGGGGTCGGTTCCAGCCGTGTGTTTCCGAGTCTTAACCCTGAAAGTGGAAGTGGGGTCCGGAGAACCGTTGCACCACCAAGCGAACTGTCTAATTGCTACTACTTAGAGGGACCCCTGCAGGAGCGTGCGCTTCGCCGGGGCTGAGGGACGCCCGCGACAAACCGTGGTGGTGTGGCGGCCTCCTAGCGGCCAGCAGCGACGAGCTAGATAGTGATCGTACTGAGGCTTTAACATGGTGATCGTGGACGCTTGAATAAGCATCCTGCACCGAGATGCCCACTACACACATGTGGCTGTTCTCGCTGAAGTCGTTAATACCCACGACTCTATGCACCACCATCCGCGCCCGGCAGGTGGCTCGCCTCGTCTTCCCGGACAGCGGCCTCGCGGGAGTGCGACGGCCACGGTGACTGTCCCAACCAGGTGACCACACCCCCTGGAGGACCCCCCATGGAGACTGCACCCATGGAGACCCCCCATGGAGACTGCACCCATGGAGACCCCCCCATGGAGACTGCACCCATGGAGAGCCCCCACTGTGACAGCCCCACAGTGACGCCCCCATGGTGGTGACTCCCCCCACCACAGTGACTGCCTGTGGCTTGTCCACCTTCCCCCCACCAAGGCTTAGGGCCTCTCCATGTTAGACTCTAGTTGAGTGTATTGAAGTTCAGTAGATAGAAAATACTAAATACTGAAAAGACTTGTTTTTAAGGCTACTTAAATGACAAAAATACATATACAGGTGTGAACATAAATCTAATTTAAAAGCTGTTGGAACGCCCCCCCCAAACAGTTTAAGCCTTGAGATGTGACCGTGACCTGATTCATGTGTAGTTATGACTTCCGCTTCTCAGATTATAGATGAACTCACTTTCCTGTAGTTCTTGTTCCGTAACTGTAACAAAGGCTAGGGAGAATTAAATGACGTCAGGGACAGAAACCTGCCTTCTTAGTTAATGACCCTGTTATAGATTAACTTCCCCTTTGTTGCCCTGCTTTGCTTAGAGAAAACCCGTGACTGTTACACCCTCTGTGAGAATGGGAGTGTGCCCTTCCAAGAAGAAACTGCCTATAACCAGCCAAATTGCCGGAACTGTGTGGAAACTGTTGTAATCCCGCTAACTACTGTCTCTGCCGGTGTAATGACTCCTCAGCTTCCTGCTTCAGAATGGATGCCACTCCTTGGAGTTGGCGTTTCCAAGTGGCCATCCCCAAACTTTGCACGTGAACAAACTCTCTTTAAATTAACGCAGGAGTCTAGGTGCTTTCAAGACTAGGTTTCCACAGCCATAGCAGAGTGGAGATTTGGGGATTGTTTGGGAGACAAGAGAATCATCTCCTGCACTTACGAAGATCCATTATTTGTGGCTGCCCGGATCACCCTGGCTCAGCAGGAGCAGTGACTGGGATCAACTAGTGATGTCTGCCGTGGGCAGGGTACCTGCATCATGAGAGGTGTCTGCCATCTTTGCTCTGCAGGGCCCCAGCATCATCTGCTGGGTCATGTTCTGTTGCTGCCACACACCTACCTCCACCCCAGGTGAGTTCCGGGGCAGTGTGGCGGTGGCTGTGCACCACTCCCTCCGGCCCAGCACGCTGGGGCTAGCTGTGTGCCCTGAGTCTTCCATACTTCCTTTCCCTGCAAGGGCTCCAAAGTGGGCAGGATTTAACCCACCTCTACCCCCAGGGCTAGTGGGGAAAGCACTAGTGAAGTCTCTGGCCAGGGGCACTGGTGGCCACTGTGTGTTCCTGCTCACACCTCATCCAGCCCCATCACCACAGTGACGGAAAGCTGGACCCAAGGGGTGTGGACTGCCCCAGGTCATGGGGCCAGAACAGCTCTCAGGGCCTGCAAAGCTGGTAGACTGGGCTCAAATCCCAACTCTACCAGTTCCCACCTTCGTGACCTCAACCAAGTGACCTGGCGTTAGCAAGCTTTGAGGAAGCAAAGGAGATCACACATCACACACGGACCACCAGTGGGTCGTAGGTCTCAGTCCCATCTTAACTCTCTGTTCTTCCTCATTAGGACAGACCTGAGCTAACACAGGCCTCCATGCTGCTGGGCAGGGTCTCCTCTGGTCTCGTATAGACGGTTCACCAGAAGCCTGTGCACAAGCCCGCTGCACAAAGACAGCAGGTCATTGGTGTATCAGTGTGTGTGCGAACTTGTAACAAACACGTCTTCCACTTTGCTCTGGCTCATCATAAACTGACATGTTCCTTCCTGTCCTTGCATGGCTGCAAAGGGCCCTTAACATGGCCATAAACTGTCTCTGACCCACACCTTCCTATTTAAATACTGTATATCTTCACTGAGATCTTCTATTATATACAAAGATGTTTAAAATTCATTTGCAACAGAATAAACACAAGCCTGGGTTTAGAACTATGCCCCCGGAAACTTTTTTTATCCTAACAATGCAACCACACAATGCTAATTTAATGATAATAGAAGGACATTTTAAAACACAGCTGAGTTTTGGGACAGTATGACAAAACAGAAGTTAAAAAAAAAAAATACTTGGTAATTATAGCCCAAGTTCCCGTTTTCCCCACAGTGAAGTCAAGATTTGAAAGGGAGAGGAGGGGTGCAGCTACAGCTTGACACATCTGGAGTTCACAGGCATATATTCAATTGTCAAAGAGCTCCAAGCTCATAGGAATGACAGAAATGGTGCAGTACGCAGGAAGAACAAACCATAGTGACTTTTTAGAGAAACAGAATGAATACTTAGGGCAGCAGTATGGAAATAAAAGTGCTTATGGCTTTCCAAGAAGAAAGATGGTTAAGGAATTAGACTGACGAAACCACAGTGGTATCACGTTAGGGGAAATGGCAGCCGAACCCCAGAGCTGTGGAACGCACACAGACTAACCACAGTGGGCTGAGGCCAAAGCCCTCCCGGTTCTGGAATTCTGGGGTCTCCACCTCGGAATTGCACCTATTGGAGTCACCTGCCAGGGACTTTTACCAGAGCTTTTGTTTGGTGGCCAAGGGTCTGTACCATCTGATTTTTTTGTCATTACAAGTGCATTCCTTAGTAGGTTAAAGAATGACTTCCGGAGAGTCTGCACAGAAAGAATGAAGCTTCTGGTGACACATTAAACCTCCAAGGTCAGTGACTCTGGGAAGACAAAGAGGCTTTGGAAGGAGCTGGGGAGGGAGGGGCCCTTAGGCAGGGCCAGCAGGGTTGGGGGTAGAAGGGCAGAGAGGAGGGAAGGGAGGGCTGTGCCCGGGACCAGAGCCCATTTTCCATGGTTGGATTAAGCAACAAAGCCCAGCCTGCACCCCGGTGTGTGGGATGGCTCCATGGGGGGGCGTCTGTTCCATGCAGGGCCTCTCTGGCTCAGGGATTTGCTCTCGACCAAGACACAGAGACCTCATCCTTTGCACGCAGTCACAGTCCTCAAAGCACTTCCTGTGTCAGCCTCTCAAATCCTCTGAAAACTAGTGGGAACATGTCAGAAAAAAAACCCAAAAAATGGATTGAGGGCAACTGACTCTGTCTGTCTTGCTAGAGACCCCTTCTGGGGTCAGCCCTGGCCCTCCCCACAATCTTCCCTGGCAGAGACGGATCCTGACTCAGGGCCCTCGGCTGGCACCTGGACCCTGCCAGCCCCCTCTGCCTGCCTGGGAAGTCTTACCTGGGGTGACCCTCCCTCTGCCCCTCTTTCCTGAGGGGGCACCCCACACACAGGCAGCCCCGCAGCCCCTGTCACAGACCACACCTGCATGTTGACAATGACACCTTCATCACCTAGCTTCACCTGGTGGTTCTCAAACCGTAGTGTGCGTCAGACTCACCAGACTGCTACCCCACCTGGAGCCCCCCCCCCAACAGCAGGCTGGGGCGGGGCTGAGAACGAGCATCTCTAACAAGTCCCCAGGTGAGGCTCACCCTGCAAGGCAGGATGAGCCTTGGAGAGCTGAGGCTTGAGGCCAGCGGGTCTCGCTGCGGCTGCACACAGTCACCCGAGGAGCACGGAGCACCAGCCCTGCCAGCCCGCCTCCAGCAGGGCGGAGGGGCCTTTACAGACCCCCAGGCGAAGGCTGTGTTGAGGACCCCTGAGTTGAGAAGTGTCACTACTGTGGACGCCCTGAAGCATCATTTCTTGTTCCTTCCACCTGCCCAGGTGAAAGGTCCCAGGCCAGGTTCCCAGAGAGGCCCTCATGCAGTTAACTAAGCATTTAAAAGTAAGAGTGAGGCCGGGCGCCTTGGCTCACGCCTGTAATCCTAGCACTCTGGGAGGCCGAGGCAGGGTGGACTGCTCAAGGTCAGGAGTTGAAACCAGCCTGAGCAAGAGCAAGACCCCGTCTCTACTATAAATAGAAAGAAATTAATTGGCCAACTAATATATATATTAAAAAGTTAGCCGGGCATGATGGCGCATGCCTGTAGTCCCAGCTACTCGGGAGGCTGAGGCAGCAGGATGGCTTGAGCCCAGGAGTCTGAGGTTGCTGTGAGCTAGGCTGACGCCACGGCACTCCAGCCTGGGCAACAAAGCGAGACTCTATCTCAAAAAAATAAAAAATAAAAGTAAGAGTGAGGGGCCCAGCACAGACACCGCCGCACAGGGTGGCAGTGCCCGTCTGCAGGTCTGCCGTGGCCCCACACCGTGGCTGGTGATGCAGTTTTCCTGGACTGAGGGGTTTCCCTGGGTAAAGGCCTCCAGTGCTAAAGCTGGGACGTCCACTGATTGTGGTCGTGGTCAGTGTCCTCTTGCATCCGGAGCTCCCGGCAGCATCTGTGTGGAGCTCAGGAGTGTCACTTTGGCACAGTCCCCGACTGTCCACACACCCCTCCCCTCTGAGCACTGCCAGGGAGGCCAAGGGGGGCCAGGGTCTGATGACTCCAGGGTTACAGTGACACCCGGTCCCAACTGGGCACTGGGGTGAGCAGCATCCTAGGACTGAGACGGGTCACTGGGCAGTGTGGCCAGGCGAAGAGCGAACTGCTGGAACACACGGCCAGCCAGTCCCCACGGGAGGCTTAAATAAAACCCACACTGTGCGAGTGCACCGAGAGCTTCCTTAAACAGAGACTCCAAGTGGCCTAAGGGATGCCTCGCAAGATTGTGACCCTGCGTGGGTCTCAGACCCTGTCTTGAGGGCTGTGAGGGATCCTGGGCCTTCCCGTGTGGGTATTTACCCATCTGGTCTGTCACCCTCGGATACCGCCACACGACACAGTCACATATGACCTGGGATCGTGTGGCAGGGGACCGATGATGACTTCCAGGTCACCCCAGCAAACAACCCATGAGAAAGGAGCTTCTTTTAAAACTCTCTTCGTGGCCATCCTCCCGAGAGCAGGCCCACCTGGCAGGCAGGCGTGGGCAGTGGGACAGGAGGGAGAGAGACCCCCTTCCCCACTCACTCCTGCTCTGGCCTGCAGGCCCCTCTGGTGGGGCCGCCACGTCATTTCCGGAAATCCACCTAGAATTTGGGACAGAGGGCTCAGAGAGGGGCTCTGTAGGCAGATGAGGAAGGAAAAAAGAAAACGGAAGCCGCCCCTCACACAGGAGGTTACTCAGCATAGCGTAGCACAGTCAGAGACCGGCTTCTGTGGACAGCTTGGGTTGTTTTTATTGTTTTTTTGTTTGTGTATTGTTTTTCTGTATGCACATGATTCGTTAACAGTATAATCAATGGGATGTGGTTTTAGGTCCTGATAATTTAAATATAAATAACACCTGTGATCAGACTGCTCTCCTAACTCACGCAGGCCCCAAGGATCCAGCCCCACAGGACTCGTGCGGTCCTTCCTCACGTGTCTGGGGAGACCGTGCCGTGGCTGGGGGGTGCTGTCCCTTCTGGGGAGTCTGTGTAAACATCTGTCATGCCGGGGGCAGGAACAACAGTGGATGTGTGGGTAACTGGTGCTGCCGCGTCACGGTCGCAGGATGGGGGTGATGTAGCTGGGGGGGTCCCGCCTGGCCGGCCCTGGCAGCCTTCTTTTCTCCAAGGGCTCCTAACTCTCAGCAAACTTGGGGTTCATGACCGTCGTGGTGGCGCTCTTGAAAAGGGGGTTATCCTGGTGAGAGACGCAGACATGGACTTGTGGGTGCGGGGGGTTTTCGGGGCAGGATCTCCCCCCTGAGGCCACTAGGTCCACGTGGCAGTCGTGGCCCCGAGGAGGAGCCAGAAGCGGGCGGGCATCACCCGGGAGGGCTGCTCAGGGATAGCCATTGTAGCCATGCAAGGGTGACCACGGCCTCCCGAAGCAAGAGGTCGCAGTGTGGGAGGTGCCTCCTCCACGTGGGACCCCCGAGGACGGCCACTTACGTTGTTCCACTGGGACTTCAGCTTCTCCTTCTCGAAGCGCTTGTACTCCCGGAGGTCGCTCAGGTGGGTCAGGGCCTTCCAGATGACCAGCAGGAGGACACCAATGAGCACGATGCCCGCCACGGTGCCCCCCACGATGGTGGCGATGTTGGGGCCCTGCACACACTCTAAGGAGGAAGCACAGGCCAGAGCATCAGTCCCTCCCTCTCTGACCCGGCCCGTGTGTGCCCTCGGTCCACGGTCACCGCACAGCACTTGGTTGGACGGAGGGTCCCTCTGCCCGGCTCACCGTGACCACCGTGGCTGTGTGTCCACGAGAACCTGGCCCTGGCCCCCCCAACAGGCCAGGCCCTGTGGTTCCATCTGACACAGAGGAAGGTGGGGCCCAGGTCACCAGCCAAGCAGGGCAGAGGATCGACACCCAGGAGGAATCGGTGCCTGAGGGACCCCTGCCCTCTGACCGCAGAGGTCAGAAGCGGGACTGGCAGGGACGAGTCTGCCCCAGGGAGGCGTTCCTCAGCACCAACGGCAGGAACCAGAGCCAGGCGCTCAGGAGGGGGAGGCCTCCGCGGGGCTGAGCAGCCGAGGGTCCCGGAGCCATGGCGGCTTACCTGACCCTGCCGCAGCCCCTGCCCACACGGCACAGCACCCGCGCTCAGTGCCAGCCTGTGGCCCAGTCCCCAGCTCCCTCCTGTCACCTTGGCCAAGGTTGCACAATCGGACGTGAACCTGAACCCGTCCACGGAAGCAAGCTGGAGGGGTTGTCGCCCTGGCAGACAGAGTCTGCAGTGTGGCCCATGTGTGGGTCATGAGGTCCAGCTGTGTCACACAGGGGTCCTGAGGCCCCCCCTTAGTTTCCATCCTGGGGAGGGAGTTTGGGGGAGCATGCTCCCAGGTCTCAGTCCTGCGAGAGACCTATGGTCCCAGCTACTTGGGAGGCTGAGGCAGGAGGATCACTTGAGGCTGGGAGGTCAAGGCTGCAGTGAGCTATGACCACACCTGTGAATAGCCCCTGCCCTCCAGCCTGGGCAACACAGAGAGACCCCCTCTCAAAAAATAAAATTCCTCCTGGTGGGCTGCTGGCCTGCACCTGTTGGGGTCCCCTAGTGGCCTCCCCAGCCCCAGCCTCTGAGTGGGAATTGGCGGGGACCCTCAAAGCCCATCCCATCGTGTGTCTGCTCAGCCCACATCCCAGAGTCCCTGACCTTTTGTCATTGTCACCCAGTAGACTTCCCGACTGACCTCCCCCACCCTCCCATGTTGCCTATTGGCCCCAGACCCTGGACTGTCACCTGTGCCCCCAATCCTCCCCCATGTGTCACCCACTCGATGCATCGCTCTTCTGAAAACCCACAGTGGCATCTGGGAGACTGGTGCCCAGCCCCCTCAGCCTCTCCAGGACTGAGACTGAGCACTGGTGTTCAAGTCCCTGCCAGGGGTCCTTCGGCAGCCGACCACGGGCCAGCCGACCACGGACCAGCCCCACTTCCCTCCAGCCTCGCTGTGTGTCGCTCTGGCAGGCCTGGCCCTGGTGGGATCTGGCGCTGTCCCCAGGGGATGGGCGTCTGCTACCCCAGCCCCACTCGGGGTCAGGCGAGGCAAGGAGAGGTGGTGGGGGCGGAGGGCCAGCCTGCAGTCTCCCCGTGTGTCCCGAGGGTGTCCTGGACGGCCCCCAGCCTGCTGGGCCTGCTTGACCCGTGGGAGAGAGACCCTCCCTCTGCAGCCCCCTGGAGTCTCCCTCTGCGGAGACCCCTGCCCTGGACCCACGCCCTGCCGACCTCACCTCGGCTCTCCTCCACGTGGATGTCATAGCGGTCCCACCCGTCCTGCTGCCACAGGGTGTAGGTCATCCAGCAGCCCTCCGAGTCCCGCTCCTTGCACGTCCTGCCGCTCTGGGCAGGGACTTCCAGCAGCCGCAGGTTCCTGCACACCGCGCTGCAGTTCTTCTCGAGGGGGCCCTTGTCGAACCGCAGGCACTCGGCACAGGAGCTGCGGGGAGGCCAGAGGGGTGTGGGGGGTGCAGGTGTGGGAGGCTGCAGGGGGTTAAAGGTTGCTCACGTGGGGGGCTTGGGCGTGTGCCCACCATGAGGGGGGTCAGGGTACCCGCATGGCTGAGGGCAGGGTATGGGTGAGGTGGGGACAGGGCGTAGGAGCCTGGCCACCTGCTCCCGGCCACAGATGTGCACCTGGAGGAGGAAAGGACTCTGTCCAGGGGCATTTGTAGGGACTCTGCCCTGCAGCAGGCTCAGGGGTGCTTCCAGGGGAGCCCAGCAGCAGGAGGTGGCCCTGCACAGTGGGGAGCTGCCCACCCCTGCTGCACTCACCTGAGATCGCTGCAGGGTGAGGAGCAGGTCGGGCACTCCAGGCACAGGGGCGGCTGGTAGCTACCCTCACACACACACTGGTTGCAGCTGCACCGGCCGCGGCCACTGCATTCCACTTTCCGCTGGTTCAGGCAGCCCTCGGTGGTGCGCTGGCACTGGCACGCGGAGCCATCATAGCCCTCCAGGCAGCGGCACTTGCCACAGAAGCAGAGGCCCCTCTCTGGAAGACAGAGGGGCGGGAGGCTCAGCTCCTGCCGGGCCCAGGGACGAGGCCCACCCGCCGCCTGCCCGAGCCTCCTGCAGCCCCAGCAAAGTGACCGGCCGCGCCTCTCTGCGGTGGGCGGAAGTGCTGAGACATGGCAACCGACCACCGGCCAGGCCTTCCCGCCCCCAGCCCCGAGGCGGCCTCCTGGCCTGTCCAGCCTCCACATGCCCCCCGTGACTGGGACCCCCAGTGGCCTGGGACCATCACCCCCCTTGGGGCCCTCCCCATGGGGATGAGGAAACTGAGGCAGGGTGGAGTGGAGGGTGGCCCAAGGTCCTGCTGCCAAGCTCCTGAGCGAGCCATGTGCTGTCTGTCCGTGTGTCCCCCACGTCCCCTCTCTGTGCTCCCACGCGTGGCCTCCAGTGCCCTGGAGAAGAAAGCCCCCCTGGCCACGCCTGCGGCCCCAATGATCCCTCTCTGTGCTCCCACGCGTGGCCTCCAGTGCCGTGGAGAAGAAAGCCCCCCTGGCCACGCCTGCGCCTGCAGAGGAAGCGGCTGCCCCTCCCCGCCAGGCCCTGCAGGGCAGGGAGGGACCCGCAGGCTCACTGGGGCCGCCACAGGGCTGGTTGTCGTATCGCTCGCAGTTGACATTGTCACACTCGCAGTAGCGCCCGTAGATCTGCTTGTTGGGGACGTCGCTGGTGTGGCACACGCACTGTCCGCAGACGCAGTCCCCCAGCCCCGAGCACACGAGGGAGCTGTTGTCCTTCCGGCAGCTTCCCTCCAGCTCCTGGCTGCTCCGGCCCTGCGTCTGGCACTCACAGTTTTTCCCGATGTAGCCAGCGTCGCACCTGGGGGGAGACGTCAGAGGTCGTCCCCGGCCCCATCTGGGACAGCCACCCGTCCCCGTCCCTCAGGGCCTGCCTGGCCTCGGCTGAGGACACTTGCTGTGCACGCCGTGCTCCTGCCCAAGGCCTCCTGAGCACGCGCCACGCGCTGAGCACGTGGCCGGCCCCGGGCACCCATCAGAGAGAGCCGGGCTCGCTCTGAGGACGTCCGAGAGGGCAGCAGACACGTGACCTTGGCCATGAGGTGGTGGCTCGGCCGGCTCACTGCGCACTGTGGCCCAGGCTGTACACACGGCACGTGCGGGATCCTGGCGCTCCACGACGGCCAGTGCCTGCTTCCGCGTGCCCCAGGCTCCCACCTGGCTGGCAGGGACTTGTGTGCTGCCTGGGCAGGTTGCCAGAGGATTCCGGGACAAGGGTCTATCCGGCAAGGACAGCAGTCCCAGGCCACTGGCGCACAGGTGCTGAGACCATCCCGGCAGCCACAGAGACGACCCCCGGCGGGCTGTCCTGCCTCCCGGAGGAGAAAGCCTCGGGACAGAGTGTCTCGCTGAGCCGCAGTGGCACCGCTGCCAACGGCCAACTTCCAACTGAGTCAGCCTCGCTATCCCTCCGGGAGGCCACCCGAGAGCCGCACACCGGGACGGCGGGCAGAGTAGCTGCTGAGGTGGGCACAGGGACAGCCACAGAGATCAACACTGTGCTGGGCTGCAGGAGGGGCGGTGGGGCCTCGGGGCCTGGGGGTCAGTGGCACCTCCACGGGGATGTGGCCGGGCAGAGCAGGCAGGAGGGGAAGGTGGCCGGGCACAGGGTGGCACCTGCGGGTCGCCCAGCAGCTCTGGCCAGACAGACTGTGGCTCTGGGCTCCTGAGCAGGTGGGGGCAGGGAAAGGGGGCACTGCTGTCCAACCCCAGGGCAGGCAGGACCTTATAGGGGGCAGCAGTGGACAGTGGTGGGAAGAGGACATCCTGGGGGGTTCAGTCTCCTGTGGGTGGCCACTGGAGCAGCCCTGGCCCTCGTCATGTAAAGCTCCCCGCTGGGCACACCTGTGCTCTCCCTTCACCCTGAGGCGGGGCCCCCACTCCTGACCGTGCACCCTAGGCCTTGGTGTGTGCACATCCCAGGGGTGGCCTGCAGGGCCCGGGCTACCGGAGCGGTCACCTGTCCTGGGAGGCCTTCTGGCTGCAGGGGGCCCCAGGGCTGCCGGCCTGATGGCCTTGGATCCCCAAGGTTGCAGAGAAGTGGGCCCCCAGGGGACAAGCGAGGCTGGGCAGAGAAAGTCACCTGCCCCAGGCACATCCAGCAGGGCTCCTTGCGCCCCTGAGATGGGTCTCCCTGCTCTGGTGAGAGGCCCTGCCCACCAGTCCCCCTGCCGTGGACCCTCCGTGGCCGAGCGTGGGGAGTGCAGGTGGCATTGTGGATTCCCACGCAAGGGCAAGGGCTTGCGGAGGGCTCTGGTGCAAACCCCAGTTCTCCTCCACCTGCCACTGCAGCACGGGGTCCTTGGGGTACCTGCCCCAAGAGGTGGGGTGGAGTGGAACACCATGGGCTGCCTGCACCTGCCTCACCTGCCCTGTGGGGTGGGGGAGGGGTGCTGGGGGCCACCTGCACCTGTCTCACCTGCAGACACTTGCCCTGTGGGATGATGGAGGGGCACTGTGGGCCACCTGCACCTGCCTCACCTACAGACACCTGGCCTGTGGGGCAGGGGAGGGGTGCTGTGGGCAACCTGCACCTGCCTCATCTGCAGACACCTGGCCTGGGGAGTGGGGGAGGGGTGCTCTGGGCAACCTGCACCTGCCTCACCTGCAGACACCTGGCCTATAGGGTGGGGGAGGGGTGCTGTGGGCACCTGTGCCTGCCTCACCTGCAGACACCTGGCCTGGGGATTGGAGGAGGGGTGCTCTGGGCAACCTGCACCTGCCTCACCTGCACACACCTGCCATGTCGGGTGGGGGAGGGGCACTGTGGCCGCCTGCACCTGGCTCACCTGCAGACGCCGCACTCCAAGGAGCCCTTGCCCTGGCAGAGGCTGCGTTCCTGGCTCTGGTCCCGGCACTGGCACTCACACTGGGGAAGGACACGCACGGTCACCGTGTCCGTGAAGCCCAGTGGCCGGATGACAAACGTCTGCTCCTGGACGCACTCTGTGGCCGTGACCTTCACCTGGAAGGTGATCTGTCGGGGAGCGGCAGGGCTCAGGCGAGGCCCTCGGGCAGCCAGGTAAAAAACCCTGCACCCGTCCCCTCGCCCACTGGCCTCTTCAGGGTCCCAGGAGGGAGCAGGTCAATGTGGGGACTTCCAATGTCATGTTAGAAATGCGAGGAAAGGATCCTGCCTGCTGCTCTCCTGCTTGTCCCCATGGGGCCTCGGCTTGCCTGTGTGCCCCCCTGGGACCCCGGGTGCTTCCAGCTGTCGCCGGGACCCTGCCACCATACTGGGACAGGGGCCCTCCATCCTCCCAGCTGTACCCAGCCACCATACTGGGACAGGGGCCCTCCATCCTCCCAGCTGTACCCAGCCACCATACTGGGACAGGGATCCTCCATCCTTCCAGCTATCCCTGGGACCCTGCCACCATACTGGGAAAGGGACCCTCTATCCTTCCAGCTGTCCTGGGACCCTGCCACCATACTGGGAAAGGGACCCTCTATCCTTCCAGCTGTCCTGGGACCCTGCCAGCATGTCAGGACAGGGACCTTGGTGGCACGGCCAGGCTCACCGGGACGTTGATCTGCACGCCGTCGCAGTCCCCTCGGGGTTGGCCTGTGATTGTCACTCCATTACTGCAGAAGGAGTCGTAGGTGACTCTCAGGGTGTCGGGGAGGGCGCCGTGCTCCAGGAAGACCCTGGAGGAGAGTTTCTGTGGGCAGAGAGTGGCGCGCTGAGGGCTGAGCCGTCTGCCGGCCTGGCTCCCTCTCGGGTCTGGACCGGCTGCTTCCCATGTCCCTCGGGGGCCCGGCGTGGACTGATGACACACACGCCAGGGCGAGTGCCACGGGAGGTGCTGTGGATGGCGGGGCTGCCAACGCCCAGGTCCTGCCCCAAGACAGGCCAAGTGCAGGGACCACCGCGGACACGCGTGGAGCCCGTGAGGGCGGGGCTGGAGGGCAGGGCCCGGCACAGGGAGGAGCTGGAGAGGTTGCTTAGGTGATGGGACAGCCAGAGTCACAGAGACAGAGATGGGGGCAGTCACAGAGACAGAGATGGGGAGAAACAGAGACACAGAGACGAGATGGGGAGAGACAGAGATGGGGAGAGACAGAGATGAGGAGAGACAGAGACTCAGAGACAGAGATGGGGAGAGACAGAGACTCAGAGCCAGAGTCACAGAGACAGAGATGGGGAGAGACACACAGAGACAGTGGGGCAGAGAGACAGAGAGTGACAGAGAAGGAGAGATCAGAGACAGAGATGGGGACAGAGACTCAGAGCCAGAGACACAGAGACAGAGATGGGGAGAGACACAGAGATGGTGGGGCAGAGAGACAGAGAGTGACAGAGAAGGAGAGAGCAGAGACGGAGATGGGGAGAGACAGGGACTCAGAGCCAGAGACACAGAGACAGAGATGGGGAGAGACACAGAGATGGTGGGGCAGAGAGAGAGTGATAGAGAAGGAGAGCAGAGACAGAGGAGAGAGGAGACGGCGCTGCCAGACGAAGGAGCCGTTGCAGGCGGTGCCACCGCTGGTCTGTGTGAGGACGGGGCGGCAGTGGCTGGGCGCTGGGAGCGGCTCTGGGGTCTGGGGTGGCAGGAGGCTGGGAGCAGCGCGGGGCACCCCGTCTTGGGCTCTGGGCTAACTCAGTGACCAGAGCGACTGTCTGGGCTCCCGCGTGCCGGGCCCTGTCAAGCCACAGGACGCTGGGCCTGGAAGGGTCGCAGCCGGACTCCCAGGACGTCTCTCCCGGGGGCTGGATTTCAGAGCGGCGGACCTGGGGCCGGCCCTGAGCGGGCCTGGTGCCGCCCGTGCCCACCGGGACAGTGGGCCCCACAGGGAGCAGCCCTGGTGCAGCTGGACGGGCCACACGCCAGGCAGGAGTGTGACGGACGAGGGTGTCCTCGGCCTGCCCAGGTGGGTGGGGGAGCCGACACCCAGAGACGCCTCGACCCGAGCTGCCGTCGTGGGCCGAGACCACCCGGCGATTTCTGGGGCCCCTCCCCCGTGGGGCATTACCCAGCCCCCAGCCGTCCACCCCCCACTTCTCCATAGAATCCAGCAGGGGAGAGCCGGAACGGGAAGTCTGGAGCTATGTGTCGGGCACACGGCGGGCCGGGCGGCCACGCCACGCCAGCAGCGGAGAGACGCGGCTCCCGGGGGAGCGGCCGGCCGGCGTCCAGGAGGCCTGAGGGCTGGGCCGGGGCTGCAGGAGCTGCATCCGCCCTGGAAGCAGGCTGCCGCCCACCTCCGCTGCGGACTCCGTTGTTAGGTTCTTGATGAGCTGGCCACCGTTGCTGGATCGTGACAGCTCCCCAGGCGACTGGGGATGATTTCTCGTGAGTTTCTGTCGGCAGGACCAGGCGGCACGGCTAGGAACGGTGCCTCGGATCGGCCCCAGGTGCTCCCGCCAGTGTGAAATGGCTCGACGCCTCACTGGGGTTCTCGTGTCCACGTGGCGATGAGAGCCACCCGGCGAGAACCCTGGTAAGTGAAACCGGCTCTTGGAGGCAAAAGCCTGCGTTTTGGCGTCTGCTCACTGCTATTC